CTCAGGCTAGGCTTAAACGTGTAATTCTCCTGCCTCCTGCTCCCTAAGTGCTAGGTTTATAGGCACCGTCATGCCCGCGGGCATTTAACTTTATCCCAGTGAGTGAGATCCAGAGATCTCTGGTACTGCTCCTCTTTTTAGGGGGAGGGCAATCTCCCCCTTTCCTTTTCTTGCTCCCTCAAAGTGGCCTTCCAGCCGCTGGGGCTTTTGCCTCTGGGGTTCCTTTGGGGTCTCTAAGCAAGCTCCTGGGAATGAGGACGAGCCTCCCGGGATCTGCCTTTGGGAGAGATGCTGAGCGTTTTGGGGGTGCGCAGTGCGCCTGTGTGCTGCTCCCACATGTACCTTGCTGTTTCCACACTTGGGTGTTTTGCAGTGGAACATCCTCCCCGTGTGGTTTGGCAGATTCGCCCTCTGCTTTGGTTCGACTTGGAGTCCCCACCCTCTCTGGGAAGCCTGTTGCCACCTTTTCCCTTGAAATGATTTCTTCCAGGAACTGCATTACTTGAGTATTTGATTTGGCATTAAATCAGATATTGCCTCAGGATATATATTCTCTTGTTATCTCAGACTCTTGTCAGGGGATGGGGTAGGCTGGTCTGATTCCTCCTTCACAAACCAGAATATATGGTTCTTGGCTAGGATTTTTATTATTGCCTTGCTTATTGAATAGCCATTGGTAATGTATATATGTGTGTATATACTTAGTGTTGGGGGTTGGACCTAGGCACAGAGCCACATCCCCAGCCCATTTTTTATTTTTTATTTTGAGACAGAGTCTCACCAAGTTGCTAAATTCCTCAGGTTGGGCTTGAACTTCCAATCTTTCTGCCTTAGCCTCCCAGAGTGCTGGGATTACAGGTCATTGGATTATATTTGATTTGCTGATTAAGTCTGTGTTTTCTTTCCTTTCTTCTCCCTTCCATCCCCCTTCCTTCTCTTCTTTCTCTTCCTCTCCTTCTCTCCCCCTCCCACTTCTTTTTCAAAGACAAAATCTTGCTATATTGTCCAGGTTGGTCTTGAACTCTTGGGCTCAAGTGAATTTCCTGCTCCAGCCTCCTGAGTAGGTGAGACTGCAGACATACTCCACAAGAATGTATTTTTTTTAGTATATGCCTCGAGGAAGGCATTGGACTTGGGAGCTATGAAGGACATAGGAAAAAGAAAGGTCCTGAAATCCAAATAAGATGCCCAACCTGGCCCCTGCCCCTATGCCAAGGGCCCAAGTCTGATCTCACCTGGCAGCCTGCACACATGTGCTTCCTTCTGCCGCTAGAGCAAACTGATGCCTTCACTCGGTACCCCCTGCCGCCATTTCTCCCTTTTTTTTTTTTTTGTTTTTTTTTTTTTTTCCGGTATCCGGAATCGAACTCATGACCTTGCGCTTGCCAGGCAGGCACTGTGCCACTGAGCTAAATCCCCAGCCCCTAAAGGAGAGCTGCACCATTTTCTTTTTTGTTTGTTTTTTGTTTTTCTTCTGGTACCAGGAATCGAACTCACGACCTTGCGCTTGCCAGGCAGGCGTTATGCCGCTGAGATGCCACTTCACCACCTAAGTCAAAGGGACCTCCTCGAAGTAGTCTCTTATATGTTGTTGTTCTTTGTCTCACAGGCATTTTCATGATGCCTGAGTGTGAATTTATGTTGACAATGAGGCATTTGTAATACTAATAGCTCTGTCCACCACTGTACTTCCATTTCTGGGGCATAGAAGACGGAGGCGTTTTGTTCAGGGCTCAGACCCAACACAGGGCCTAGAATGCAGTAGATGCTAGTACTTCGCTCTAAGGGACAAGAAAGAAATGTAAAATGAGCCGTGATTTATCTGTAGATTATGCTGGTTTGTTTGCTCTGGAACACATAGGCCTTGTGGGACCATGTGGCATTCCTCTAGAAATAAAAATGGACATTTCTTTGCTCTAGGCAAAATACATGTGCTGTTTCTGTCCTTCCGACTTCTTCCTTCCCCTCTCTAGACCTTTTTTGGCTTGTCTTAGAGATGACACGAGGCAGTTTGGGTTTTTGATCTGCGAGGAGGGCAAGACAAGGCTACTATTCTGTTGCGTGGAATTCTAGACACTAATTTGGGGCCCTTTGGGATATGATACTCATTTTTTCCTAAACTCCTGGCGTCATTTTGAGCAACAGCCCGTGCTGCTGGCCAGAGTGGCGAGGAGCCACAGGGCCGTTGTCTCTCTCGCTGACTGCTCCGGCAGGCAGCATCTCAGCCCTCCTGAGTCCTGGGCCTGCTCTGCAGGACCTGCCTGGGAAGATGTGTCAATAAAGAACCTGAGGGCCTAGTGAAGTCATGTCTGCAAAAGCAGTTGGAGCTGGTCAGGGAAGAAAGAGGTGCTCTGTGCAGTTGGTGTCTAATTATTAATCAGACTTTCCTTGGTCCACTCTGCCCTGGGTTCGCCTTCTGCTGCGGCTCAGCTGCCAGGAGTCCCCCCGCTCCCTCCTGGCACAGTGGCACAGAGCGTAGATAAACAGGGCTCTCTGGGCGACTGTCCTCAGGCTGCGGACAGCAGGCCAGTGGCAGCCTGTCCGAGGGAACCCGCTGTCAGGGCCGCTCTGGTTCCTCTGCCGGCCTTCAACACCCGCTTTTCTCTGCTTGGCCAGAGGGGGGATCAGGCAGTTTCCCCTTTGGCTTCCTTTGCATTGTTGGGTGTAAGTTGAGGGTGGATAGCGTTTTAAGACTCTTTTATCCTCAGTGAGCTGCTAATCACTTTAGGGTCTTCTTCCCCCTGTAGTTCTAGCTGGCCAGTGGTCCCTTTGGGAGTCAGAAAAACAAGTCTCCAGGGCTGGGGATATAACCCAGCGGCACGGTGCCTGCCTGGTAAGCGTGAGGTGCTGAGTTCGATTCCCGGTTCCAAAAAAAAAGGTATCCTCAGTGAGAACTATGTTCCTTTTGTTACAGCGTCAGATGAGCTCTTACGGTTTATTTTTCACTTCTTATTTAGCATCCGATTTGAGCACTAACAGCACATGCATTCAGGTTTTCCTTTGCTGAGGACGGACCCTCAGGCCTCATGCGTACTGGGCAAGTGCTCTGCTGCTGACCCAGGCTCCAGCCCAGGTCTGCTGCAGGGTGGGAGCTGCGGCCTGGGGAAGGCTGACCTGCAGGCCGGCGACGTAGGTTCTGGAGTGGCACAAGGTGTGCAGACGTCGGGGGACTGAGCTCTTTACAGAGTCGCCCTGTCTTTAAGCCTGCTCTGCCTGCAGAGTGACTCTCTTCCCTGTGCAGGTCTTATGTGGGCAGGTTTGCTGTTCTCTCTGCCCCAGCGTTCCCAGAAAGGCCTCGGGACTTGGCCTTGCCGCCATTTCTCTCTGCTCGTATTCGCTTGCTGCTCTTCTTTTCCTCTTCTCTCTGTGGAATTTGGCTCTGCATGTTCTTAGGAAATCCGTTTTTCCCGCCTGTGAAGCTTTGTGAATTTCTTGTCTGTCTGTCTGTCTGTCTCTATATTCATTCATTCATTCATTCATTCATTCATTCATTCATAGTGCTGGGGATTGAACCCAGGGCCTTTACACTGAGCTACATACCCAGCTCTTTCACTTTTTTGAGACAAAGTCTAAGTTGCCCAGGTTGGACTCAAACTTGAGATCCTCCTGCCTCATCCTCCAAGAGTACTGGGATTACAGGTATGCTGCACTATACCTGGGTAGGTTATTTACCTTTAAAAAGTGTGTGTGTGTTGTTGGGAATCAGACTCCAGATCTTGTACATGCTAGGTAAGTACTCCATCTCTAAGCTGTACCTCAAGCCTAATTTACCTATTTTTACAAGCATTGTTTTTATTATAATGTCTACTTAGTTAACTGTTATTAAATTGCATGTATTAGAAGGATGTGATCTAATTTATATCATTGTAAGTGGCTGTTAAGAGGAGCCCGTGCCTGGATTCCTGTCGGGAGGGTGTGTGTGTGTGTGTGTGTGTGTGTGTGTGTGTGTGTGTGTGTGTGCGCAGGCGTGTGCACCTGAGCATGGGCAACCTAGGAGTCCATAGAGCAGATTCATCATGCATTGCAGCTTGCATGTTTTTTTTTTCCAGTGTTTATAACTGTGATTAGTGAAATATGAGCTCATAAGAAAATGTTGAATTCAGTAGCTCTTTGACCATTAGTCATTCTTTTCAGTTGCCGGGCTGTAAAGAGTAGCCTCTATCGCATAAAGATAAGAAATTCCTGATGGCTAAAAAGAGTCATTGTGCCAGAAGATTAGGAACCGTGATGATGCCCCGCACCTGGCATCCGCGTCCCATTCTGTCCTTCTGGTTGCATTCGTCTTTACCGTTAGCTAGGTTGTGAGCCCTTGGGTGTGGGACTTCTGTTTTGTGCATCCCTTCCATAAAGGAGTGGGATCCCTTCCTGCTCACACACTTCAGCTTCCAGGAAGTATGTGCAGATTGGATTTAGTCCTTAAGTCATGTTTTCCCTTTCCCTCTAGTATTTTACTTTCTCAAGCTCCTGTTTTCTTGTCTCCTTTTTGATTTGGGCTTGTTTGTTTGTTTGTTTGTTTGTTTTTGAGACATAGCCTCATCAAGTAGCTCCAGCTGGGCTTGAACTCACTGCATAACCCCGGCTGGCCTTGAACAGGCAGTCCTTCTGCCTCAGCCTCCAGAGTGCCGGGTTACAGGTGTGTGCCACCATGCGCAGCCTTCCTCGGCGCAGCATTTTACTGCAGCTCTCTGAGGATAAAAGTAACCTATAATCTCCAGTACTTTCCTACAGTGCATTTCCTGCTACACTTGGCATTGAGCAAGTGTCAGTCTAGGCTGTGGCCAGATAACACAATAGTTGAAATAGCTATTTAGTGAGCAGTTATTGGCCAGGCATTGTGGAAGGTGCTTCAGAAATGCACTCTCTCCTTCACTTAGAAATAACTTGTAGTCCCTGGACCTGTCCCCACGTACAGGTGAGTCCGCCGACTCTGAGGCGGAGCCAATCTGTCTCAGTCCTTCTCGCAAGCCAGGGCCTGAAGCCCGATGTCTGCACATCCTAAGGGTTGGGCATGGTGCTGCCCCTGAGGAATTTTCCACTGAGGACACAGAAACAATGGCGAACAATGCTGTTTGGCTGTGAATAAGCGTAGCATTGTTTGGAAGTTTGATGGCGCCCAGAGGTGGAGGAACTGGGAAGGGTCTGGAGGAGGTGAGGGCAGCTGGAGGGGCCTGTGTCCGGCTGGTTTCTGAATATGTTTGGCGGCCCAGGGGAGAGAGCACCGATGGGGGACAGCACACCCAGCCCTGAGGGCTGGCCAGACTATGGGAGCAGGGCCTGGGGGGAGTGGGCTGAGATTGGGTAACCAGAGCCAGAGGGATCTGTCAGCCCGGAGAGGACGACAAGCAGGTATGTGCAGGGTTTAAGCAGCATGTGGAGGATGGGCTTGAGGAAGAGTGAGGAGGTGGCAGCAGGCGGCAGGCCCTTCCTGGGAGAGTGGCTGTGTCCGTCTCCGGCCCACAGTACGGCAGATTGAACCTAGGGCCTTTGGACTGAGCCACATCCCCAGCCCTTTCCATGTATTTACGTATTTAAGAGAGGGTCTGGCTAAGTTGCCCAGGTGGGACTTGAACTTGTGATCCTCCTGCCTCAGTCTCAGACTCTTTCTACTTTTTGCTTCTTGATTCTTCCCTCCCTGTGTGGCCCTGAGGCCCAGTGCTGTCTTGTGGTCCTGGGAGCAGCTGTATAGACTGAGGTCCCCGTTGGTTGGTAGACCACAGGCCATCTGGGCATGTGGCAGTGAAGTCCGCTGGAGTACCTGGAGCGTGGGAAGGTACAGGGTGCAGAGGTCAGGGACCTGGATTTCACTCCCGGCCCTGTAGCTTCTCAGATCAACAAAATTAACCTTCCCTCATTCTGTTTTTTTCACTCGTCTATAATTTGCAAGCCACCATAACTACTCATAGGGTCTTACGGATTAAGGTGGTAGCCGATAGAAATACAGAAGCTGTTTAGTCTAGTGTAGCGGTTCCAGATTTCCTTGGACCAGGTGTCAGATCTATCATTTCCAGTGTGACTCTGGGCAAGTTACTTAACCTCTCTGTGTCTCCTTGTTAGAGAGAGAGAGGAAAGGAGGGAGGGAGGGAGAGACGGGAACACATCTTAATGCCTGGCACATGGTAAGTAAGTAGTAAGTAATAACTGTTACTGGTGGTGTCTCCATCTCCGTCATTATCACCATCAGTGCAGTGCTTGGATGACATGAACCCAAAGCACAAAGCCCCCCAAATGCGAGGTAAGAGGTTGCCGCCAGTCTCCCGGGAAGTGATAGGGCTCGAGTGCTTCTCTTAAGCACTGGAGTTGTAACCACCTCATGCCAGTTGCAGAATCTTGTAGAGATTCCAGGTATTGCTGAGAAGCTTAAACAAACTCAGGCATTGTTTTCTGATATAAATCACATTTTTCTCAGGCACGTAAATAGTTCCCTTCTTTTTAAGTAGACAATGGAGGGAGCCAGGTGCAGGGGTGCATACCTGTAACCCCAGCTACTCAGAGGGTGCGGCAGAAGGGTCACAAGTTTGAGGCCAGCCTGGTCAGTGTCATGAGACTCTGTCAAAAAGGGGTGGGGGGGGGACTGGGGATTTAGCTCAGTGGCAAAAGCACCTGCCTGGCAAGCGCAAGATCGTGAGTTCGGTTCCTGGTACCAGAGAAAAACCAAAAAAAAAAAAAAAAAGGGGGGGGGGGGGGGCTGGGTGTGTAGTTCAGGTGGATCACTGCCTTATCAGGAAACGCTGGGTTCAGTCCCCAGTATGGGGGGAAATGTGGAGGGGGGAAGGCGGGGAGGAAAGGAGAGAGGACAGCCAGTTTTCCCCCTCTGCCTGGAGGGACAGGTCAGCCCTGCTTGATCTGCTGGGGACACAGCGGCCCAGCGGGGAGCTCTGTACCTACTGGCCATGGTATTTCTGTTCTGGAGTGTTTATCTTCCTCTCTCCCAAAGCCAGACTGGGTACGGTTAGCTTTAGAATTGCACTTACGTTTAGCCACAAAGACCAGGGCCTTGTGAGTCCTTCTAAAAGTCCTTACCAACTTGCTCTTGAGCCAGCAGTGGTGTCTGAGTCTTGAATTTATCTATGTAAAGATTTTTTTTTTTTTTTAAAAAGACAGAACTGAACTCACTGGGCCTTGTGCTTTGTAGATGAAGTGCGAGCTGCTTTCTGAGGACTGGCTCATACCAGAAACCAGCTGGTGTTACATGACTGCAGATCTTTAAAGGAGCAGCTTACTGTGGCCACATTCCCACCCACAGAACCCTGCTGTCTGTGGGACGCTGGAGTGGCCTGTGGCAGTGTGGAGGTCCGGTATGTGGCAGCTGGCAGAGCTGCGTGCTTTACTTTTACATAGGGTCAAAGTGCTGGGGGGCTGGTCCCCTTGATATCCTTCTTCCCCACCTAATCATGGTTGGTAATACCGTGGATGAGTGCTGCGTGTGGACACGGCAAACGCCCCCCCGCCTTAATCAGGGGGTAGGTTGTCCGAGAAAGGTAAAAATTCATCATTTGGGGTTCTCTGGTGCTGGCAGCAGCACCCCGCATGGAGTTGCGTCCTCAGCTAGCGAATGCTTTGTAAATGGCCCAAAGGCTGGGCTTTGCATATTTGGCCTCTGTCGTGCAAGATAAAAATGCCATCAGAAATATGTGATGGGAGGGCTGGGTGCTGAGGGACACGGAGGGACGGGATGGCAGGGCAGACTGGCCCTCCTCCAGCTTTGCTGTTCTTGGATTTCCCACTTGAGCTGAGGAAGACAGGCTGATGTTTTTGGCCATGGACCAGCTCCTTTCTTTATTCTTGTAAGAACGCAGGGCCCCAGCTCTGGTAGTAGTGCCATTTTAAGTACTTTATTTATAAGGTCCAGTGGCCAGGGGTTATACAGCAGGCCAACCAGCTCTGGTTTCTGGTTTTTGTTTGTTTATTTGTTTGTTTGGGGTTTTTGTTTGTTTGTTTGTTTTTTGAGACAGGGTCTCACTGTTGTAGCCCAGGCTGGCCTCAGTGGGCCCTGGTGTGTACCCCCCTTGCCAACTTGGTCATGAGTTGTGTGATAGGGCACTTGGAGGGCAGGTGGGGCTCAATTAGTGCAAGGTCTTCCTTGAGTGCCCGGGGTGTCAGAGGTGCCTTGCAGGCCCTACTGTTGTGCTCATCTCTGGGTTCCCACAGAGGGACGGTAGCCCTAACCACATGGTTTTTTTTTTTTTGGTTTTTCTCCGGTACCAGGAACTGAACTCATGACCTTGCGCTTGCCAGGCAGGCGCTTTTGGCCGCTGAGCTAAATCCCCAGCCCCAGCCCTAACCACATGTTACGGGCTGATCTTAAATGTCCCCCAAGGGCCCATGTGCTAAAGACTTGATAACCAGGTCTGGTGCTCTTGGGACGCGGTGGATCCTTTTAGGGGGTTAGGTCCAGCCCAGGGGGAGGAAGTTAGGTCGTTGGGAACAGGTCCTTGGTGGGGTGTTAGGGCAGACCCCTCTGAAACTGTGAACCAAAATAAACTTTTTTGTTCCGTTAAGTGGATTTTCTCAGGTATTTTATCACTGTGGAAGTAAGGAATGAGTGAAGGAGGCCTGGCACATGTTAACAATGATCTCACCTTACTGCTGGGGTGATAAGGATGGCCGTATCCACCCTCCAACTTATGGAAAGCTTAGGAGAAAAAAATAATTGTCACAAAGGAATGGCACCTCGTGTGTGGGTGTCCTTAGCAGTCATTCCTAAACCTTCTGTATCCAGGAAAGTTGTAGATAAAGGCAAGTCATAGATTATAGAAGTGTTTGCTTTACTGCCACCGAGCAGGATACAGATCATAATGGAATAAAATCAACAGCTGGTTTATTTACCCCATATATCTAATCTGCTTTGTTATTTCTTCAGGATATCTTTGGTAATTGCTTATCCTTAGCACCTATAATTATACTTACCATAATTGGGTGCTCGCAGTTTATTGAATGCTTTTTCTTTAAAAAAAAAAAAAAAATAGTAGCAAAGCTTTTTTTTTTTTGAGACAGGGTCTTGCTCTGCAGTTCAGACTGGCCTTGAGCTCACTTTGTAGCCCAGGCTGGTCTCGAACTCGCAACGATCCTCCTGCCTCAGCCTCCCGGGTGCTGGGATTACAGGCGTGTGCCACCATGCCTGGCCAGCAAAGTTTTATTAAAGGTAGGAAAAGTAGCAGGCTCTGCAGGGTGAGTTTGAGCCAAGTAGAAGTAGTAAAAGAAGTACGCCCTGCAGTGTGAGGGCCGCCACCACGTGAGAGAATCCGGTGGCAACTTTTCCCCTTTTCTATTCCACTTCTCACAGCCACAGTTCTCATCTGGCCCTTCTTCATCTCATGTCCCAGTGACTGCCTGAGCCCCCTGCACGTTGCCTAGATGAAGCTCCATGTACTGGCCAGCCTCTTCCTGCCTGTGCTCCTGCCCTGTAGCTTTGAGGGCTCCTGTCCTCGTCCCTGGGCCCCACCGCAGCTCTCCTGCCTGGCTTTGAGAGGCTGCCTGCAGCCGCCTGGCTGTCTAGCACACTTCTCACCCCCTCCCTAATCCTGCCTCCAAGGGCTCTGCTGCTGCACCCCTGAGGGACCCTCTTCCCAGCCTACTTGACTGTAGCCCGTGAGCATCTAGCCCAATGGTGCCAAACCAGAGCCCTCTCTGTTGGCACACAGGAGCCAAGTTGCCCTGCAGCTGAGCATTGGATAAGTTTTTTTTTTCTAAACTAAAACCTCAGTGTTCAGGTTTAATTGCAGTGTTGGCACTTTGCGATAAATAAGTGGGTTTTGGATTGCAGTGTGAGCTGTACACTCTAAAGGTTTGCCATCTCTGGTCTAGCCATATAGTTTAGGAAATTGGATTAGTTTCTTCCTTAATTGGATGTTAAGCTTCTGCAGGGTGGCAGTCATCAGACCTTATTTTTGTGTGTGTCTCTTTCAGTGGTCCTCAGATGGTGTGTGCCGTGAGCAGTTAGCAGACCCTTGATTGACGTCTTAGTACTGAGACAGTTGTTGGCATAGGAGAGTCTCATTAAGAAATACTTTGCCTATCTTTGTGTTGTTTTGCATTCTTTTTTCAGTAGGTCTTTTACTCTGTCTCAATTTGCGTGATCACACAATAGGTTATATGGATCTGGCTAGGAATAGAAACCCAAATAATATGTTTTCGAAAGTGAGCCTGGA